TTGAAAACACAATGATCAGGGAAAAAAGTCACTGAATAATTCTGGATTTTAGTAATGCTACTAATGGAAAGAAGGTTAGTACTAAGTTTGGGCACATGTAAAGTTGATGATAAGGAAAGTGTATCAGACACTCTAATGTCCCCCTTGCTAGAGATGGGGACAAGGGAGTCATCAGCAATAAAGACCTTTTCTCTTCCAGAGGACAAATGGTAAGAAGAAAATAGAGAGGCCAAGCTGGTCAAATGATCTGATGCACCCGAATCTGCAATCCAAACAAGATCAGTGTTACCTGGAATTGATTAATGATAGGTAGTAGCCCCTATACCTGAGTGAGCAAAAGCTAAAGTGGAGATAGAGGGACCTGAGGTAGACTGAGATGGTCCAGTAATGTCGGCCTCATTCTCCAGCTATGTCAGGACTGCCCTGATAGCAGCCAAGGCATCGAAGGAGGTAGACCTAGCTCCGGTGGGGGATGAGACATCTGTAGYAGTAGCAACATTTGCATTTCCCTTCTTATTCTTAATTCTTGAAGGCGCCAACTGAGGATGAAGCTTCTAACAGGTCTCTTTAGTGTGTCTAGGTTTCTTGTAATAGTCACATATGATCGTTTTTTCTTCCTTCCTTACCTCTCTCTCCTTGTCACCATAATGCTTCGGCTTCAGAGCTGCTAAAGCTGTTTTAGTCTGGAAGTTTTGTAGCATAACATTCCTTCTACTCTCACTCACCGTGTACTAAAGAGTATGCTCGAGAGTTGAGACAAGGTAACACCTTCCCTAGTAAGAAGTTGTTGTCTCATTATATCATATTTGGTATTCAGCCCTGCAAGGAACTCAAAAACCCTATTTCTTTCCAACAATTTGTTATATGTTGCTGCATCCTTCTGACTCATTTGTTATATGTTGCTGGAAGGTGTTGCTGTCTGTCACACTACCAGTCCCTACAATATTCTCCATTCTGAACTGAGAAAGGTGTCACACTTCCCAGCAATTTTCTGCCGGAAAGAATGATTTTCTTATTTAAAAAATGGAGTCAGGCTGAAACAAATCGACTGCAACACACCTGGTTGTTCCAGCAAGGGAAAAAACCCTAGAAAACAGAGGAGAAGTTTCAGCTGCAACCTCCAAAGGCTTCTGACAGTCCACTTGCAGTCGGCCTCTAGACAAGTCAAAAAACTGCCCAGAAAACACTGAGCGCYGCCTTCAACTTGAGATTTAACCCCTAAGCCTCAATCGAAAAAGGTTTCTATGATTCTTCCTAGTCATTGGGCAGAATTGAGAACAAAGAGGTGCAAATAACAGTGCACCGAACTCCACTGACCTCCAAGAATTAGGCAAGAAAAGTTTTAAAATTCCAGCCCTGATAGAGTCTCATGCAGCCAGCTGGGCAATGCCTACATGAGACCAAGAAACTAAACCTAAACCTGCTCTGATACCAACTTGAAAACAGATGTAGCAGTCCTAGGTTTAGTTTGAAACCCGTTCAAGAGAAGAAGAAGGAGAAAGGAAGGAGAAGAAAAGAGAAGAGAATGAGAGGTAGAGAGAGCAGAATGAATCAGGCTCTGCCACCCCCTCATTGGCTTTTATATTACTTGATAAAAAGGAGTACAATGACAAAAATACCCCTGTCAACTGTGACAGAGAGAAAACACAAGTACAGCAGTTTAAAATAAAACAAATAAATGTGGGAGCATATTCCTGCAACTATCAACATATAAAAAATGAGTAGATGTCCCTGTCTTCATCTCTACAATATATATCCATGTCAAAATATGATATAGCCTTAGTGGAAATGCACATGCATTGTACATTTTTAATAAAATGGGTCTGGTATATGTGTCTAATGATGCTAATAAAAGAGGTATGCTAGGAAGATAAACCAAGGAATAATACTTTGTGTCATGTGGTAAAACCTATGTGATTTTCTAATTGCGTATGAAATGGCTGTAGCCCCTAGATAGAGTGGAAAGTGCATGGTGAAGCCAAATTTTTTGGACAGGGTTTAATTGATGATGTTGTATATGATGCAGCATATATGATATATGCTGGGTTGTCTAACGTATGTTATTTTACTCTTGGTTAGTATAAATTATTTCATTTTCATCAGTATCTCACATATATTATGGATAAGTGTAGATTTTTCTTGTAAATTGGATTTTCACAGAGATTTTTCTTGTGCATTTCAGTAATTTTACATACAAAATTACTGATTAATGTTTTTTTGTTGAGTTAAAATGGGATTATTTCAGTAATTTTGTATGTAAAATAATTTATAAAAGGGTGGAATAGATATTTGGAAAAAACTGATGCATCAATCTAACGTGTTCCGTCTGGGACAGTGATGGAAGGGAGGTTTTTGTTGAGTTTCTGAAAAGTTCAGGGGAGGTTTTTTGTATTTTACCCTTTTCAAAATGATGTGGCGGGCCAAGATGGGCTAGAAAGGAAATAATAAGCACTTAAAAATAAGCTCAAAATTTGGGCTTATTTCCCAAATGCAAATAAGTGCTTATTGGTGTCATCCCAAAGTGCATGTTATTGGACTCTTTATCTCTCTGTGGATCAGTAACAGGATCAGGATGCATTCATAAATGATGAGAATAGTAAAATATAAAAGGGTTGTCGAAGAAGAAAAATAGAACAAACAAAACTAAAAACAGCACACAAAGAGGGCACAAAAGTAGGCAATAAAAATCCACCAAAGACCAGAAATAGAAGCAAAAACAACTAGTCTGGTAGTTCAGGTCCCCAATATGGGCTCATCCCTCCCAACCCAACTCTGCACCAGGCCTCCCACTGCTGAATTTTAGTTGACCTATTCATCAGAATAAGCTTTTCACTCTAGAAGCCAAGGTCTTGGCTTTGTAATATGTCAATGCAGCAACCTTGGTCCCTCAGAGCCATTAATCATCCAGCTTAGTGCAGCACAAGAGTAAAACTCAATCTCTACCCTACCCATAGTAGGAGGGGACAGAAATCTCAGACCCTGGAGAAGAGAAAAGCTTGGCACAAACTGGGTCTCCATACCCACTAAGATCCAAGTAAGCCATAATGATGCCATCCATATTATCCCTAAATGCATCTTTTCTCTTCAGTACCAAACATACCTGGATTCAGGATTTCCCACTCAGCTTCTTTCTTTTAAATTTTCTTTCTTTTGTTGAAGAAACAGGAAAACAGTCCATGGAGTTTCAAGCCATTAGTTAGACAGGCTCAATTCCTAGACAACATGCTGAACGGTCATTCAACTGGGTATGATGTGCAAATTCTGTAGCTGATTCATTGGCTAGAGCAGGGGCAGTAAGGGATCACCTAGTGTGGTGATGTTTGGGGCCAGGCATCAATCTGTGATGCTGTCTTTAGTAGTTTGGGTCTTTCCATATTGCTTTGTTTTGGATCAATAGTCATACTTTAAGGCATGATATCCTTTTGTGGGGCAATTAGGTGATTTTTTTTATGAAAGAAATGGATTACTGCTTAAGAAAAAAAACCTTTCTGATAGATTATATTGAATTCTATTTAGCCAATGTGTAGTCATTTGGACCATTATTGGCCTTTTTGTTGCTTCCTATTTCTTCAGTTTCCTTTCATACAGATAGAAGGGAAGGGTTTAAAGCTTATTTGCTTTTCTGGTTTGCAATACCAACACTCGGGAGTGGTACAGTGGTGATGGTGGTTTTTCTTGGAAAATTTTTTCGTAAAAGTAACTCTGAAATTATGTCTTCACTTGAGATTCAGTCAATCTGGAGATATCTGTTTGCTATATCAGGTGCCCTTGGTTAAATTCATTTTGTCCCCTAGATTAGCTTTAAACATCAATAGCTTTCAAGTTAGTAAGTGAACAGATTCGCACTGCACAGAGAATAGTCGCTTAAGCTGTTTTGAGAATATTGTAGGCTGTTAGATAAAGATTCTTCTGTTGGTTTGCTCAGAAGAGTAGTGCAAGACTAGAAAATCAGAATAAAGGCAAGACAAACTATGGCTTTCAATACTGTTCAAAATTGATTTTGTAGATTTTCTCGTCTTCTTAGTTGGAACTACTTGTTGTGTGTGTGTTTCTAGAGATTGCATGGGAGATCTTTTTGGTTGGTTTAATGGGACATGCATGGATGATACATTCTTTTGCCATCTCATGATGATTAATGAAAGTCTACTTACGGAGATTAAAGCTTATATGAAATGCAAATATTCTTTGTTCTCTGATAGGATACTGTAAATCTTATCATCCTTGGCTTTGAGGTACATAAAAGTTTTGTGGACTTAGAGAGAAGAACTTACAAGCAATTGAAAGGTGGGTAGACAGCAAGTATGCTCTAAGTTATGCTTAAGTGACAATATCTGAGCCTATTACTAAGTATGTGTTTGGTAGAGCTTCCATTTATTAACTAAATGTTTGTACTTGATTTGTTGTCAAAACCGAGAAAAGTAATAATGTCAACCGTTTATGTCAAGTAGGCACCACCAAGTGTCATTAGGTGCCACATCAGCAGAACAGTGAATAAACGCCCAAACCGTTGGGGGAAGCGTTAAAATGAAGCTTCCCCCAACGGTAGGCGCACACATAAATCAAGGCCAGCTTTTGTGAGTACCTATGCATACAGATCACCATGACAGGCTAAATGCTGATTTGGCAATGACATGGCAACGTTTTGATAAACACCTATCACAAAATGCCTACGGAACAAAACACCTATCATAAAAATGTTGGCCTTGATTATATTCTTAGCAAGTCTTCTGGTTTAGTTTCAGTTTTGTTTTTATGTTCTTTCTTCCTGTTCTATATAATATGTATGCATCTGTTATAATGTTTTTCTCCCAACATTTTTATGTATTGATGGATTTAGTTTTTTCACTTGGAATGATTGGTTGCAAGGCCAAGTGATAATTTCTTGCTTTTTTGTTGACTTATTGTAAACACTATAACATTTCCAAGTTGTTGGTTGTGGTTGTGCAAGTATATATTTTCTCATCTAAGTCAATTTATCCTTTAACCATGTATCTTTGAAGGATGCCAAAGAACTTGATCAACTCATTGGGCATTTAATCAATAGTGAAGATTCCGAGGGTGTGGTGTTACTTGGGCATGGTACTGGCTGTCAGGTGAGTGAGTGTATCTTGGAACAATAGCAAATTAAAGGTCAGCACTTTCTAGTCGAACTTCTTGATGAAGTAACATTAACTTCAAATGTGTGCAAGAAAATTCAGGATATTGTGCATTACATGCATACACATGCTGCATGCTCCATTGCAGTCCATGCAGCGATATTACAGGTAATATTCTCCCAGTCATTTATCCTTATAATTCTACATAAAAAATGCTACTAGATTAGATGAATTGATGCTAATAATCAGTTTTCTTGCAGCATCTAATGGGCCTTTGATTGTTTGTAATTAATACTCTGTTTGGCTTGTATACTATATGTGTGAGAACAAAGTGCTCGGTTTAAGGTCTGAACTTACCCTACTAGGGCTGTTGGGTATTCTTTTCTGTTCTTGTGTGTGTGTGTGTGTGTGTGGCTAATAACAAATTGAAATTTGTATCAAGTACATAAGCATGAATTTTATATGCTTATATATACCCATTCCTCTAAAATAGATATCCAATTCTTCCAGATTTGTTGGTAGTTGTCTTAGTAGGTGATGTAATCTTAGTTATGTGCCGCAAGGCACTTATGTCAGCCTTTTTTATTTCTTATGTGGTCGCCCTATTATTTAAATAAAAAAGACTGGCGCTGCCAGAACTATAGCTTCGATCTCCATCTTCTCTTCTCCTCTCTTCTTCTTCTTCTCCTCTTCTCTTCTCTTCTTCACTCCTGAATGAAATCATGGTATCAGAGCAGGACCGCACTCTGTAAAAAGTTTTTTTTTTTTTCCTGATCAAAAATCTTTCAAACCACATACCTGGACTGAGAATGAGAAAATTGGTTCGACCTGCACTGAGAACTGTTGCTGGACTCTATTCTATTAACTTTTAACTAGAATCTGAGAAGAAAAATCAAACTCAGAGATTGGCGGATGATTGACTGAGTTTTTCTAGAGGTCGGTGGCTGTGTTTCTTCTTTTCTCCCATTCTTCTCTTGACTGTAATTTCCAAAACCAGTCGAACTGATCAGGAACCTTGACTGAAGTTCTCTTTTATCACCGGCTCTTGGTATTGTTACCAAGAACATCCTAAAATCTGCCCTAGCCGAATGGTGTAGGCGAGTTCAATGACCTCTGTAGGTCGGTGATCCAAAACTGTGTGGGTAAAGAACCTGTGTAGGTCATGTGTGACCTGGTTCAGATGAACAAATACACCAGCAGAAGTGTAGATGTTATGTGTGGCTTAAACTAGCCCTTGTGAGGTCGGAGAGACCTGTAAATTCTTCACAGCAGGTGCTGTGTTACTGTGACTGCAACCCTTGTGAGGTCAGTTAGACCTGAAAATCTGTGACAGCAGGTGCTGAGTTACTGTGGCCTTATTTTTTTCACCTTAAATCTTACAGTGGTGGTTGTGTGTTTGTGAGTGTGAGAGGAGGGTTTGTAAGTCTGAAACTTCTGCTTGCAGCCCCTGTTATGGCTTCCGAAGACTCTGCAACTTCTGGAACATCTTTTAACCGGGGAGGAATGAACAGCAGTCTTGACTCTATGAACTTTCCAACGACCATTACTCCCTTAGATGGCAGAAATTATTTGACATGGTCTAAGGAGATGCGGCTGTACATCACAGCCCGGGGTAAGGCAGGGTATATCAATGGAAAAGTGAAGGAACTTAGGACCGGTACTGCTGAATATGGTAAGTGGGAGTGGGACCAGGAAAACTGCATGATTATGTCATGGCTTTTGACTACTATTCTACCATCGGTTAAGCAGAATTTTATGTGGGCTGAGACAGCCAAGGAAATTTGGGAACAAGCAAGCTCAACTTACTCCGAGCAGAGACACTATGCCAGAATCTATCAATTGCAAGGTGAGTCGGCAACATGCAAATAAGGGGAAAGAAGCTTATCCACCTACTACTCTACCCTTACATCTATCTGGAAAGAGCTAGATTACTATCCAGAACATTGATTGGGAGAGTGAAAAGGTTGCCAAAGCTTACAAACAGTTAGTGTCACGGCAGCGGGTGTTTGCCTTTTTGTTAGGACTTAATCCTATGTATGAACCCATTCAAGTTCAAATTTTGGGCAGTAAGGACCTTCCTTCCGTCCAAGAGGTGTATGCTCTGGTCCAGTCCGAGGGAAGTAGAAAATCTACCATGAATCCCCCCGAGGGGGAGACCATTGCTTTAGCTGTAAGAAGTAATACTAATTCAGCCAAAAGGGGAGATGGTCAGAAAAGAGTTGATGATAAAGATAAACTGTGGTGCACTCATTGTCAGAAACCTTGTCACACACAGGAGACATGTTGGGAATTACATCTAAAGCCGAATTGGGCACAAGACCTAAATAAGAAATCAGCTCCAGAATAGAACAAGAAACCAAATCAGAAGAGGTTCACTTCGGCTAACTTGGCTTCTCATGAGTTGCAAAGTGGAGGAATTACTTTGAACTCTCAGGATGGCCCCCCTTGGTCTGATCTCAAAGAAAATGTTATCTCTGCCTTCCATGATCATTTGGAACAATATGGTAGGGCTCTCACACAAGCAAATTCTGGACCCACTCCTTCAACCTCCTTCGCTTCTACCTCAGGTAACTTAGCTTATGCATTCCATGTGTCTATTGATACCTCCGAATCTCCATGGATTATTGATTCTAGTGCTTCTAATCACATGACTTATAAGTCAACCTTTTTTCAATCATACACCCTTCTTTCTGGCAAAGAAAAAGTGAGACTAGCTGATAAAATTCAGATGAGGTGTTCGTATGATTCCAGATCAGAAGAAGAGGAAGAAGAAGGAGAAGAAGGGGGAGAGAAAGAATAGTCTCAGCTAGAGAGTAAAAAACCATCTTCTCTAATCGGCCACTCTTTTAYTTATACTTTTCTAAAATACACAAGAATTACTATTGTGCCCTCACTTAAGTGAGAGCCACATCAACTAAACAACTAATATATAACTTAACATAAAATGTCTATACTACCCTTCTACAGTCGACTCTAACACTCCCCCTCAAGCTGGTGAGTATATATCATATACTCCCACCTTGTTACATATGTAGTCCACTCTTCTCCGATTCAACCCTTTGGTAAACAAATCTGCCCATTGATTTCCTGTGTTCACATATGTTGTACTTATCACTCCACTAAGCACCTTCTCACATACAAAGTGGCAATCAACTTCTATATGCTTCGTCCTTTCATGAAACACTGGATTAGAGGAGATATGAACTACAGCTTGATTATCACAATATAGCTTCATAGGAGTGTCAATCGAGTATCCCATCTCCTCTAGGAGACGCTTCAACCACACTAGTTCACATGTGTGTGCCATAGCCATATATTTAGCCTCTGAACTGCTTCTTGCTACCATTGTTTGCTTCTTACTTTTCCATGTCACTAAGTTCCCACCAAGAAAAGTGCAATACCCTGTAGTGGACCTTCTATCAGATATGGAACTGGCCCAATTAGCATCTGTGTATCCCTCTATCTCAAGACTTTCTCCACTCTTATATAACAAACCACAACTTGGAGCTCCCTTCAAATACCGCACAATCCTTAGGACTGCCTCCCAATGTGGAATTCGAGGATTTTGCATTGTTTCGAATGCTGCTACAGTAGTCCGAACCAGGAAGAGAAGGAAGGAGAAGAGGAAGAAGAAGAGAAGAAGAAGACAGAAAATAAGGGTTTGTCGAAATCTGTTGGATTCCCCTTATAGTCGACCCCCTTAATCTTCATTAGATTCTAATGATCTTTACAAAGACAAAAATGCCCTTAAGTGTGGGGCAGAGTGACTCTAATAACACTGCCACATAAGCAAGCTACTTAACAAGCATAAGAAGACTAAACTACCCCTATTCAGCACACTTTAACACTCCCCCTCAAGCTGGAGAATATATGTCATATAATCCCAGCTTGTTACATAGATAGTTCACTTTCCCTGAG